TCTCTTCCTCTTTTACAACTGTTAGTAATAACTTTAATAACAACAATAGTAGTATCTTCATTCTCAGCGATCACAATACAAAAAGAAAAAAAGGATAGAAAACAATGTCTTCGTAAGAAACTGTCGTGTTGGCGCTTGTCGCTTTCCCTAGTCAAAAAATCCCGGGAAATTTTCTGAGAACTTTAAAGTTGTTCTGACCCCAAAGCAAACAAATTATCAAAATTATCAAACAATCAAGAAATTTGTACACTCGTGGTACATTTCGTCGCCGTCGAAGTACCGCACGTCCTTGTGCAGTGCGTCCAGGCGCTTGCCCAGGGCGACGAGCCTCTGGACGCAGCCCTGTTCGTGCCACGAGTTCCTGTCGAAGCTGCCCCCGATCACGGCCACGCTCATGCTGTCCCTCAGCTTGCTGTAGTACCCCAGGTCGCTCTGCAGGGACCAGCCGCGGCCCTCGAACACGGACCCGTCGCCGCCGACCACGAAGTTGTAGATGATGTCCGGGTACTTGTGGCGGTCCATGTGGCCCGCCTGCAAGTGTGTAAAATGTTTGTCTGGAAGGGCCATTTAAGGGGTCCTTCATTCAAAAAAAAAATCGGTGTACACCCTTAGAATAAAAATCACGAAAAAGTCACGAAAAAAACAGAAAAAAATCATGAAAAAACTCCAAAAAAATCAAAAAAAATCACCGAAAAATAAGAAAAAAATTACCGAAAAATAAGAAAAAATCAGAAGAAAAGAAAATCAAGAAAAACAGAAAAATTGGTGTACGCTAGAATTTAAAGTGAAGGACCCCTCGGGGCCATTACAAGACGTTACAGGCGTGCTCACCACGTTGGCGCACTCTGCCTCCGTGTCGCAGTCACCCCACCCCAACACGTGACAGCCTACGATGAGGCGGATCGGGTGAGGGAGATCAACGATATAGTCGGACGCGTCCCTTGCTCCCCAATCGGCTCTGGGGATGGGGAAGGTGCTGCTTGAAGTCTCCGTGCTGGAGGCCGGGCTGGTGCCCGTGCTGGATGTCGAGGTCAACGGCGAGGTCGGAGTCCAGGTCGACATCGGGGTCGGGGATGAGGAGGGCGGAGTCCAGGTCGACATTGGGGTCGTGGTCGAGGATATCGTTGAGTTCGGAGTCGACGGGGATGCTGAGGCTGAGGTTGGGGTCGAGGTCGGGGTCGTGGTAAAGTTCGACGTCGAGGTCGATGTCAGTACCGAGGTCCAGGTCGAGGTTGCAGTCGAAGTCGAGGTCCCGATTGAAGTTGGCGATAGTGAGGCACTTTTACCTAAAATAATAGTAGAAACAAAACGTGTTAAAGCTAAAATTTTGTCCGCAGCGTTAGATCAACACTCACTCGGTTCAAGTGTGAAATGAAAAGTGTCACTTTTAAGAGTTTCATGGCTTCGTTTCGCGATAAGAAGAGTACTCTAGAAAATCTACAGAACTTAGTTCTCTACGTACACTGACCTCCTTCCAGGAACAGTGCTAACGTCGTTATTGTAATTATCGCACTAAACACTACTGCGCACAGGAAGCACAGGATCCCTGAAACAATGCCAACAAATTGCTTTTTAAACATTCTGGGCTTCGCTCGCCTGAAATCATCCAACCGTTCAACACGTACTTTTTGACCGAATGGGACCCCACGACCCCTTTGAGGTGGCCGGGGTTACGACGAGACCGGGGCCACCGCTCGGCTCCTCGACGGGCAGGTCGTGGTCCCGGACGATGGCCGGCAGCGCACCCCGGAAGAGGGGCCGGTCTCGGGCGTCAGCCGGCTGCACGGCGGGGAGGGCCAGGGTCACCCGGCTGCCGGCGGCTACGTGGATGTGCGTGCCGCCGATCTTCACGTCCGAGGAGCCCTCCACCGCAACGCCCCCCAGGGCGCTCGCGGCCTCGGCCACGGCAGCCTCCCCGCCGTGGCCCGACGGCGAGGTGCTGTTGCTCCAGGTGTCCGCGCTGTCCGCGTCGCCGTCATCGTGGCGGACGGCGATAGCCCAGACGGCACGGTCCACCGGATCGGTGGCCTCGGTGGCGGCCGACGGCGGCGTGCACACTGCCATGTGCAGACGGGAAGCCCATGACACCAGGACCGCGACTGCGCCCCGTCTGCCCGAACGGCACTCGTCCGGCAGGTGATAAGAGAACCGGGTGATTACGCCAAGTACGACGAGTGAGCGATTAGTGCGCTCGGTTACGCTCTCACTGAACAATAAAACCGCCTTCGATAGGGCGGAAGTACCCTCCGCGATGCACCATTCGTAGCCGATTTTATTACGAGGCCAGTTCAGATGACATAGTTTTGAGCAAACAATGTATACAAGTGAGCGGGTGCGCATGCGTTGTTAGTGAGTGAGTGAGACAGAGATGGTGGCTACTCTGCCACGCCGACGCCGACATGGCGCGCCGTCTATGGGAGCCGATCGTCTTGCAGCCTGCCGACTGATTCCGAAGAGCGCTCTCCTATACCTTCCGTATAGCTCCGTCCTTGTCGCACTCATGGAGTCGCTCCCCTTGAGCGTTCTTCGGAATCAGTCTGCAGCAGCGCCCGCGGCGATCGAGGAGAGGCGGCCCCGCGGACTGGACGGGCAGCCCAGCGATGGATGGGTCCCCCGCACACGGTGGGGCCGGCCAGGGCAGCATCCTGAGCGGGAGAGCAAGAGAGAGACGTAAAAAGAGAGAGGTGCATACACATTACCACCATGCAGGCGGGGCGGGGCGGGTCGTTGGCCCCTCGTCACGGCGGCCCCACTCTGCACGTCGGCGTCGTTCAAGGGCGGCGGGCACCACGTCCATGGCGCCGACGCCTCTCCGAAACCGGGAGTCGTTCTCCTCTCCAGCACACGCCTGTACTTACAAGCCAGCAGACTCTACTTACACTCCAGCAGACGCTCTTTACTTACACTGCAGTAGTCACTGTACTTACAGGCCAGCAGACGCCGTACTTACACTCCAGAAGACGCTGTACTTACACTCCAGCAGACGCTGCCCTTACTCTGTAGTTCCTACTTGCTTGCGGGTGTGGTGCGGGTTGCCTACTTTCTCTACTCGTAAGGCGCCATGGCGATAGGCGATCCCGCTCGCCTGCCTCACCTGCTCAGCACGCTGCAGGACCAGGGGCGCGGCACACAGCTACGTGCTCTACACTAAAGTTAGCGAGGGAGAGGGGGGGGGGCGGAGCAGGTCTCAGCCACCTGAATAACCCATTCTTCCACTCCACTCGGAGTTTGGAGGAGCGAACGGAGCACTTCCGGTGGGCGCAAGGCTGGCGAGGCAGCAGCAGCTACGGCTCCAGGATAGGACGGCCTGGGTATGACCGAGGGCGAGGTGGTGGAGGGGTCTGAGTCTGCACACGCGCAGAGCGGGAGAGAGACACGTGCATTTTGCATGTACCTTTCAAGGGTTCGTTTCTTTCTTTCAGGGAGAGAAAGAAGTGAATTGGGGAGGGAGGGGGAGCACCCTCGCATCCTTGGGATTGGGCAAGGAGTGGTTGGGAGGGGGTTTCCCGTACGTATCGTATCGGGCCGGCCTGCAACCCTTCGTGGCCAGGGCCGTTCGGGGGCGGGG